TCAAAATGTTGTCAACGCCAGGGCTTGAGCTGCCAATTGTTGCTAACAACGCGTTTAACAGCTGCGTTTAGAACCACCAGCAGTTTTCAGTATCAAAGAGTACAAGGAAATACACACATACATACATATGTACAATACATGCATATATAGTGCATACTTTTGTATATTATATGAATTAATGTTGTTGTTGTTATTATTATTGTTGTAAGCACATCATCGTCATCATTAGCCGTTTGAAAGCAGCGATTACTGTTGCTTCTGTTGCTGCTGCTCTACCCGGCAATGCTGACTGCGCGTAATCGTTGTTGCCATACATAACATATGTGTGTGATTGTGTGTGCATTTGTATTGTATTTGTACTCAGCCAGTTTGCGTTAGATGCGTGTTAGTTGCCAATGTCAAATGCTGGAAGCTAAATACTTGCCACAATAGTTGTAACAATCAACTTGCCACTGCTCTGTTCATTCGAATTCGATCTATGATACTGCTCCGGGCTACAACAACAATAAGCAAGTAAACGAATGTTGTTATTGATTTGCTTTGTTTAGACAGTTGTCTACGCGTCATGATAACTGCTTGCATTCACGCGAGATCTTCTTGTGGTAATATGCTCTACCAACAAAAACAACAACCCAAAGCTATAACGAACGCATAGAGCGGTGAGTGGAAGGGTTGAAGAATGTTAATGGAAATAACAAAAGAATAGTTAAAACAATAATACTTGTATTAACAGCAATTATGTGTTATTGTTGCCTTATAAATGTGCAACCATAACTGCCGTGGTTTTAACGTTGGCACATGTTGCGATGGGATCAGGATGATGTTTGTGGTGTTAATAGGAAATAAACACATTCAAGGAGATATTTGTGACATTGAAGGCGACATAAGAACTTCCTAAGATGAAACAATTCTTGCCTAATAATACAATATTTTCTAAATGATAAGAGAGTATTTTTCGTTTTCGTTTATTTGAACTTTGTTTCTGACATTCGGATGCTAAGAAACGTCTTTTGGATCACCTTAGGGGTACCGTGTTGGTGCACCAGCCATTCGAATAAATCATTGCAACTCCGCTTTTCTGTATAGGAGTGTCATGCAAGAGCAGCATAAACTTAATGAATTTTCTTCACGTTTTCTTTCTGAGGAGAACCCTTAACATTCCTGATATATCGTGATGAATCTTTTCTTTAGCAAAATTCATTAATCGCCTCTAATCCGAGAACATTATACCAATCACTTCTGCTGGCAACTCTGAAATTTTGAATTTTTTTTGGTAGTGGCGTGTCCTTTTAAAGCCTTCACATGAACCTCCTTTCGACTCAAAGTGATGTCCTCTCGATTTTCAACTTTTTCCAAATGGAAAATTTGATGCTCTCAAAAGTTTATATAGAGTGGAGGATATCTTCAATCATCCCGTCTAAAATTATTTTCAATACAATTCAATGATTCCGACACAGAAACCTAATGTTTTACGTACTTTTGAGCAAGCTAAGACGTTAAGTTCACTTTTTTTTGCACCCATCGTAAGCCCTCAACCACTTTGAACTTTCCTTTTTGTGTGTAAAAATCTTTCACGGAACTTCAAAAAAAGCTCTGCGAACTCTGACCATCTATTTCTCTGCTCGCTCAACACAAGTGACGCCGCAAAAATAGGTGTTACGCCAGTAACCTTCAATAAAATCGATGAAAAGATCTTGCGCGAAGGACGCATGAAAGATGGGAACATAACAAACCCCTTTATTTGGAAGAGGAAAAAAATTATAATATTATAATATCAGGTGTACAACTTTGTTTCCGCCGTTTACCGATAAATGACTGTACCGGCTGAGGCTGGTTGAAATACATAGATGATAATACCTTTAATGTGAGTGTGGACAGTGCCTAACGAATTGCCTTCGCCATTTCAGTGAAAGTTGTTCTTGTTTTTGTATTATTCACGCTCGAAAATGTCAGTTTATGTACCTAATTCTCGTCATTTGCGGGAAGTTTTACTTTTCTGTTATAATTCGAAAAAAAATGCAACTGAAGCGCATCGAATGCTCTCAGAAACTTACGGTGATGCTGCTCTGAGTGAAAGAACGTGTCAGGAGTGGTTTCAACGTTTTAAAAATGGTGATTTCGATGTCGAAGACAATCATAGTGGTGGAAGAGAATCAGCTCGGTGTGATTTACTACAAGCTCTTAAAACTGGGTGAAACCATCACAGGAGATCGCTACCGAACGCAACTGATGCGCCTTAGTCGCGCGCTAAAAGAAAAGAGGCCACAATATCAAGAGCGACATGACAAAGTCATCCTCCAACACGATAATGCTCGGCCTCACGTCGCAAAAGTGGTCAAAAAGTACCTGAAAACGCTGAAATGGGTAGTCTTGCCACACCCTCCGTATTCCCCAGAAGTCGCCCCTTCTGTTTTCCAACAAATAGAGAAGAATAAGAAAAGGAGAAAAATAGGAAATAAAAAAAAAGAAGACGAGACGAAGATCAAAATAAGAATGAGATTAAAATTAATAAAGCCAGAAGAAGAAGAAAATAAGAAGTAGAAGAAAGGAAAAAGCAGAAAAAAAAGAAGCAGAAGCAGAAGAATAAATTAAAGAGAATAAGAAAATAAGGAGAAGAATTGGAAGTGGAATAAAAGAAGCAGAAGAAGGAGAAAGAGAAAAGAAGAAGAAGACGAAGAAAATTAGGGAAAAAAGCAGAAGTAGAGTAGAAGAAAAGGAATAAGTGAAGAGGAAGAAGTAGAAGAAGGAGCAGGAAAAAAGAAGAAGAGGAAGAAGAAGGAGAAGATAGGAATAAATGCATAATAAGAAGAAGGAGAAGACGAGAATTGACAGAAAAGCAAGAGAAGTAGAATAAAGAAAAAACACAATAATAAGAAGAAGTGGACGGAAAGAAGCATAAGAAAAAAGGGAAGAAGAAAACAGGTGTCTGAAGGAAAGAAAGAGAACACAAAAGTATCAGAATAAAGGAAAATTATAAGAAGAAGAAGAAGGAAAGAAGAAGAAGAAGGAAAGAAGAAGAAGAAGGAAAGAAGAAGAAGAAGGAAAGAAGAAGAAGAAGGAAAGCAGAAGAAGAAGGAAAGAAGGAGAAGAGAAAAAAGAAGAAATAATTAAGAAAAAGAAGAAAGAAAGAAGAAGAGAAAAAAGAGGAAAGAAGGAGAAGAAAATGAAGAAAATCAAAGAAAGAAAATAAGAAGAAAAAGAAGTTGAAAGAGGGAGAAAAAAGGGCAGAAGAAAAAAAGAATTACAAAAAAGAGAAGAAAAGGAAAAGAAAAAAGAAGAAGGGAATGTAAGTTTTTGTGGTACCGCAAATGGACTAAGTCAGGCCTAGGTGAATCCGACTTGACAGATCGGAAGCCACTGCAGCCTTACCCAAAACCCAACAAGAAAACGTGAACTAGGTGTAAGAATTTCATCGACTCTTTATAATTCTCCCGGGCTTAAATTAGTAGTTAAGTTTTAACGGTTTATCGACATAACGAAATTCTGTGAAACCGCAAAGAATGACTGAAAAATGCAGTAGAAATTTGAGTATCTAATTCAATTCAAGACTGATATCTTATGTAGCTCTACAACATAACTTAACTCTGTCTACACTTTCGTCGTTCAGTTTGGAAAATTTGTTAGAAATGTGGTTAGAAAGCAATTCCAGAGCTCAAAAAGCCATATAACTGACTATTAGACCTTCGGATGCACCTAAACGTTTACATATGTACATACATATATATATAGAACTTTCCTATATCAAGTTTTGTGTAGTCACTACACTATATTTGTATGTGTGTGTGTGTGAGAGCAAAACATTTTGATGCCACAGAATATAATCGACGTGATTGCAATGACTGCGTCTCAAATACACACACAATCCGTATGGAGATGTAGAAAATTAAGCGAAAAAAAAATAAAAAAAAAATAAAATAAAAATTCTACAGCGACGAAGGAGGAGTAGACACAGCCGCAGCAGCAGCAACAGCGAAAGAATCATGAGTGTAACATTAACAAATTACTGTAATTATCAGAATGTATTTTCTTCAGGGGCACAATAACGAAACGAAACCACAACAACAAAAATATTGAAAGAACAAAACTCAAAATGAAGAATAGAGAAAAATAAAGCAGCAGCAGTTGGGATAATGAATGAAACTGAGATGCCATGCAAGGAAAGAAAGGCACAGCTGAAGCGTAAGAGTTGCCACAGAATATGCATACAAATCACCAAATCAAGTTTGTTGTTGCTTTTTTTTGTGTGTGTTTGCATTCAAGTCCATCTAGGGCGTTTTTGCAACACAACCTGTACAAGTACAACAATTCTACAAGTCAAATTGTGTGCAATGAAGGTGCTGTGGCGGTTGTTGTAGTTACAGCCGGTGCGGGGCAACACCTCCTTTGTCGATGCTGTGTATGTAAATGCAGTTGGCTGCCGTATATGTGTTCTTGCAACATGCCGTAATTCTCGTGGAAAAGATAGTGTATTTTGCATATGTGATGACCGCGCTTGACCAGTCAGCCAACCGCCAACCAGCAACCGTAACAGCAATAACAACAACAACAACAACAACAACAACAGTTAGTGCAACAGCTTGACCGAAAAGTCCAACGCCAACTTGATATGATCATTTGGGCATAACGTGTATGCGCTCGCATATGATGATCGCTCCCAATGCTCAATGCCAATGTGCGCGCACAAACAACCAACTGGGAATGCCCAGAAGCACTTTGTGTAGCTGCCCGCCCGCTTGGCGTTGCGCGCTTCCACCCTGCAACTTTCCTTGGGCCTTTCGGCTTTCTAACTTTTACACGGCATGGCAGCGGCTGCAGCTCAAATTCCAAAACATTAAGATTATCTTTGGCGCGCACTCAGCGCTTGCACCATGCCGCGCTTCAACGCTCTTTTTTTTCGCGGTCTTCGTCTTGTTCGCCATCTTCATCGCGCCAGCGCAATCATGCCACATTCATATACATAAATAAATATATTTTTCATATTTTTATGCCTATCCACTCACCTGTATCCATGGCGACCAGCGTTAGCGTGTATTCAGCCTTCGCCTCACGATCGAGCGCCCGCAGCAACGATATTTCGCCTGTCGATGCATTTATGCGAAATAGATCTGTATCGCCCTCCTTCAGAAAGTAGCGCACTTGCGAGTTAAACGGCGGCGTATCAGCATCGTAGGCCTCCACTGTCAGCACATAGCCGCCATTAGGCGGTATTATATTCTCCATGACATAGGCCAGATAGGGGGAGTGCAGGAATGTGGGCGGATTGTCATTGATGTCCATGATGATGATCGTCAGTTCGGCGGTGTCGTAGCGCGTCTCACGCTGCTCCACAGCATGCTTGGCCAGTCCAATAGAGCTCGTCACACCAATGCCACCGCCGCCGCCGCCGCCACCACCAACGCCGACACCATTACCACTGCCGCCACCAACACTCGCACCACTCGTTGCGCCCACTTTGCCGCCCACCTGCAGCTGTGCGACGGCTGCCACAACATCGCCAGCACAATCCTCCGCGCGCACCGTTAGCACATAACGCGATTTACGCTCATAATTCAAATTCTTGGCAACGCGCACCGCACCTGAGTCTTCGCTAATACTAAAGTCGCGATTATCATCGCCAGCAGCTATGGAGAAGCGTACACGTCCATTGGCGCCCTCATCTATATCAGTCGCAGCTACTTGCAACACCATTGCGCCGATACTGGCATTCTCCGGCACCGAGGCCGAATACTGTTTGGGATCAAAGACGGGACTATTGTCATTTTCGTCCAATATGCGTACGGTTATCTGCGTTTGCGTGGACTGTGGTGGTTCGCCACGATCTCGAGCGGTCACGTTGAGCACGTAACTAGCGCGGAGCTCGCGATCCAAACGACCGGCGACGCGTAGTAGACCATCTACGGATCCTAAAGTAAAGGGTATCGTATTTTCGTCCTCATAATCGGCATTGTTGTTGGTCGTTTTCTTGCCATCGAGCAAATATTCGATGTAACCATTGCGTCCCTCGTCGCGATCGATAGCTTTGACGACCATAACGACGGTGTTGGGTGCGATGTTCTCGAGTACGGATGTGTCATTCGGCGAGGTAAAGGTGGGCGCTTCATCGTTGACGTCCTTCAAAACGATTGTGACCTAAGTGATGAGCAAAGAAAAATGAAAATATATTGTATAATTAAATTGATTAATTTAGTAAAAATATAAACAAAAAGATCCCCACAAGTTCTAAGTATTTAGGTATGAAGCATTTCATCCAGCTTTCCCAAGCTGGTCTCTTGTTGAGAGTTGAGCCAAACTAATTAAATTGAGGTCCAGAGGATCACACTAAGAAACGTAATCTTTTATCGTTCTCACTGCTGCGCGGCACATGGCATCATTGGAGAGCTTATGTAATCTCCTTCAGTGTGTTTTCAAGAAGGTTATTTGTTGAAGAAGGTGGTTAGAAGAAGCAACGAGGCGCATTCCGCTCACTAGCTCTCAATATAATAGGAAGAGTACTAGAGCATAAGGAATATGGTTCTTGGTGATTTTCTGGATATAAGGGGAGTACTCATCAAAGGCTTCAATTGATAATAGTCTGGAGGTAGTCCGGAAAGAACATGCCATTTTTCTGAAGATGAAAACTTTACTGCGCTGCAGAAAGTTTAACAAGGAGCAGAATGAAGCAAGACATCACAGACTAGTGTGTGTGGGTGATAGCGGTGACAATAATAAACCTACGGTCATTGGCAGTCAAAGAGTCTCTGAAAAAGTTTGAAGGAAAGCATCTAAGGATATGCAGACCACATGCTGTCTTTAAGTGTTGACAACGCTTCAAGCGTCTTACACCAAATAGTGATGTTGGTTAGATGAAAATCCAACTTAACAAGATGGCTGCGTGAAAGCCGCCGAGGCACAGTTAGCAGTTACGGAACAACCGAAGCTTTTATGAAAGCTCATTGTGGAGGAGAGGATGAAAAAGTCCATCAGAAGGCAACCATTACGCATGCAAGAAGATGCTTGGTGCCACCTGGGGTGCATTAGTGTGGTGAACAGAGGCCAAAAATATCCCGTTCAGTTAATTATACTCAATGTATCGCCTATCGACATTGCGAAATCGGCTCTAAGCCTGTTGGCGCTTGATGAATTTTTTGTTAGAACTTTCGCGCCTGGCTAAATACCCACGGGTATGATCGACAAAATTAGCTGGAACGAAGGTTTCAAGCCCCATTAAAATAGAGGACATAGAAATACGTAACCGATACTTAAAACATCTACACGGACAGATCAAACATAGCTGATGGATCTGATGGGTGCCAAAATTTATTGCGCTGAGCTGGATCGTAGGTTACTCATCAAGTTTACGGATTACTGCAGTATGAAAAACAATAACGTATATGTTAAAAGTAAGGAGGAAATTAAGGCCATAAACACGCATCGTAAAATATCTGAAAATGTCCTTGGAAGGAGCAGGAGACAGCCAAAAGTATATTTTGTCTTGTTATCGAACCAGTACATACGTAGGACGCTAAAGTCTTTGGCCAATGAAATTTATGAGAGTGCTGAATCGATTTTAGTTTGGAAGACCACAGAGTGTATATTATAATCTGTAGGATATTCCACAATCTGTGGAGTGCGTTTCAAAGTTTTTCATTCAAATAGGGGGACTTAGTGTTTACCTACTGTTTATTCTAAGGCGCCTCCGAGTGGCTGATGGATTTTCATGAGAAGCCTTTTACTGACACGACCCGTCAAGGGCGAGTCCGCAAATATATATAAATGAACTTTCCATAATTTAGAATTTTGGTGTGGCTTGACTCATGTACTTCTGGAAGGTAGTACACCTTACCAACCACCTGGAAAATTTTAAAAGTTGAAACTCATTGGATGAACAAACTGAGGAAGACGCTTTGACAAATTCCACACCTTACTATTAATGAAGCACTCAAAATAAGCAAAAATAATTTCACAAAGCTTGAGTTTTTAGCTGAAAGCAATTTATTATTTTCGTATTTTCTCTTTTTTTTTTTCTGACTTAGCATCTTACTGCGTATACGTACACAAGCTGCAAGCCACATATTAAATTAATGTTTATACATATCTAACAGTATATATCTGTATTAATTTTTTCTACCCGGCAATGCCATTCATTCGTTCCGGCAACGTTAAGTAGGCGTTGCACTGCTTGGCTGCTCAACGCGCCACAGGTTGTCGCCTTCGCAGTGGCTCTGCATATGTACATACATACATATGCACTCGTATGGTCAAGTGCACTTGCTGACTGCCTCAGCCAGCAACCGTCGTCAGTGTGGTGTGTGTGGTGGCGTTGCAAGTGCAAGCAGTGATATGTTGCAAAGAAGTACATATATTTTTATGCGCGCATTACTCAATGCAGTTGTTGTCATTGTTTGTCATATTTGTTGTTGAAGTTTTTGTTTTTGCCGTGTTACCCGTGTTTGGCAACCGCCAGCCGGCAACCGAAAGAAATGCAACAACTTCATTAATAATATGCGCATCTCTCATTAGAAATCTGCGAGCAACTCCATTTATTTTGCTACTTTTTCAAAAGCAAATCACGCGGAACAGTGCTGGCGGCAACAGTATGACTTTGGTGGCCATGTGGTTCTGTGCTTCGGTGAAGAAATTAAAAAAAAAATCTAAAGAACTATAGAAAAGCAGACACGTGTGGCAAATTTTTACATATGTGTTTACATATTTGTATATGGGCGGCCGCGGTAGCCGAGTGGTTAGCATTGCGTACTGCCATTCGGAAGGCTCAGTTTCAAATCCCATTGCGACCAACATCCAAAAAATTAAATTAATTTAATTAAAACTTTAGTTAAATTTTCTAATTGCGGTCACCCCTCGGCAGGGAATGTCAACCCCTCCGAGTTTATTTCTGATATGAAATAAAGCTCCTCAGCCGGTCGGAGGCGACTTAGTATAAACTGTAGGTCCCTCCATTTGTTGGAAAAACATCAAGACACAAAACCACAAACTGGAAGAGGAGCTCGACCGAAAAAATGAAATAAAATAAAATAAAATAAAATAAAATAAAATAAAATAAAATAAAATAAAATAAAATAAAATAAAATAAAATAAAATAAAATAAAATAGATTTAATAAAAAAAAATAAAGAAATAAAAAAAGTACCAAAAGAAAAACCCTTTAAAGAAATTAAAAAAACTATAAATAAATAAATCGACAATTTTTTAGATACAGTAAATAAAATTGGTAGATAAATTAATTTTTGTACTTTTTCCAGCGTTTGGGTACTAGGTTATTATTGTAACTCTGTGCCTAACTATTCGCAAGCGCGTTTCACATATCACTACTTTGTATCTGCTGCTGCTATTCGTATGCTTATTTTACACTTTTCACCTTTCAAACCAAACCGCGCATCTTCCGCAGTCACCCAGCCTCTGCCTATTCTCCTTCTTCTCTGATACATTTAGGTATTAGTTTTAGTTAGGCTTTCGTGCCTATTTTGATTGGCGCACGCTGCCACATTGCTTGGACTATTCGCTGTGAAGTGTCCTACGTGGTGCTGCTATTGACGCTTCTGCGGCTTTTACAGCCACGCTGCGGCGGGTAAGGCGAAATTTTAATGAACCTAATAAATTTTCGTTAATGTCCACAGCGAATAGATTTGCAAATTTAAAGGAATAACTTGCTATAGCTTTCGGCGCTATAAGTGCCATCGTACCAATAGCAATATCAACAGCAACAACAAGAAAAATAAATCCAACAAAATGGCAATTGCCGCTAGAGTGTGCAGTAAAAGCAAGTAGATAGATAGAAAGCAGACGAAGCAAACACACTTCAACTGTTGGCGGCAGCGGCAGCAGCAACATTAAACAAAGTGCGCGCGAAATGCACTACAACAAATTTATTGCAATTGCCGAGCGCCGCCATTGCTGAGTGCTGTGGCTTCTTTCGCTGGCTGGGCTGCTAGCCGCCATCGTTGCTGTTGATGTTAATAAATCGTTCGCAATTAGAAATTGCATTAAAGTCTAAATGAGTGCGATGTTGCGTTTTTGTGGTTTTTTCGTCAATGGGAAGTTTCGTCGATTCCACTGCCTACCGCCAACCTTTACAGCTTTTCACCCGACCTACGCTTGCGCGACTCATTCACGCCTGTGTTTGTTGGTTTTTGGTGAAAGCTTCTCGAATGTTTCCTTCTGTTCTTCTTTCACCTATTTTTGCCTGCTACCGCTCGCTGCCTTTTAACAGTTTCTCGCCGGCAAATTCCATTTTATTGCAAACAATTTTATTAAAAATGTTCTCACATTTTGCTCCAAAAGCAATTGCTTATCGTAAAGCGTTTATCGCTTCAAATACATCTAACTTCTGTTGCATCCTTCATGCTTCTGAGTCTGCACTCATTCGTGACTTGGTTGCTGTGACTTTTTCGAATATGAATATTGCGCTGTTATTTTCATTTTAATTCCTTACCGTTATTTGGATGCAGTGCAGAAATATGTGACCAATCATGCTTTGTTGTTGTAATGAAAACTAAATGCATGCAAATATTTGCTGACTTAACGCGAAGATGAGTGGGCATTCCGCTTGTACGATAGATCAAGTGTTGAGTTAAGGATGAATGGAAAAAAGGGTAAATATATTCCCATCGTCAAAGCACCCGGTGACTGCCACTGGATTTGGGGACCAGAAAGAACAATCTACAAAAGTGACTGGATCCGTAAGCTGTTGGTAGCCGCGTAGTTCTTTCCTGAACTAGAAGTTCACCTGTGGCTTAAAGTGCATGTGAGCATTTCAGGCGCGTCCATGAAAACTGAAGTAACAGTTGCAGTCGATAATATGGATCTCTCGCTAGCTAGTGCATTGGACAGTCCACCATTCAACTGTATTCATAGCTGTACGGATCGCTCTTACACAACACTATTACTCCGAACTGGAGTACACAGAACCAAAAGAGGTTCGTTGAACTTTCTACCAACGGATCAAAACTTGACGAAAAGTTTGGTGTGGGATTCTTTTGCTGAGAACTCTTTGTTGATGCAGACTAGTGAATGTATTTTTTTTTTTTGTTAATTTTTGCGCACTAACAAGGCGGTGGACTATCCGAAGAGTGGTTTCTGTTAGTCATAAAGTCACGTAGAGAGATGGCAGGTTGAGTTGAAATAAAAAATCTTTTCATACTGTCTTCTGCAGAACCAAGGAAATTGCAATCCTGTCAAAACGCATGTAGGTAAAATGTCTCAAAAATCGCCTTAAACTAGCTTTGCTATCGTTGTGCCAGGTAGATCGCTAAAGGTCAGCGATTCTTCTTACTTAACCAATATAACAACTAACACACTCGGCGGGATCCGTGTCTGGACGTTGTCCGATGGATAATCGTGAAGAGAAATTTAAGATCTTATCACAACCACCTTTTTATAGTACTTTGCAGATGGATATGGAGTTTACCTACTAATTTCCCTCTGTTCAGCCCTTGCGAATCTGAAACTCTGAAGAGTTAGTGACATCACAACGTTGAAACTAAATTTAATCTAAGTGGAAACTTTAGATCCTTTGGAACTTGCGAACTGTGTTTTCATCATCATTTGGGATTTGAAAAAAAAGGTGAGCCAGACACTGTAAAAATTAAGTTGATGAAGAAGAAAAGAAGGGGAGCTTTGTCAGTTTCAACAATTTCCTCTCGAAACAAATGAAGAAGACAAATAATTCACATCCAGTTGATAGAGCAAACTCTACCCTTTTCAGTTGCAGCTCAAGAGAGAAAAAAATCGGATGTAGAGAATTTGAATTCTCTAAGAGAACCCCTTATTAGTCCGTGATAGGCGAGGATATAGGGCTCTGTTACTCGAATTAGATAGGTGGTTAATGCTAAGCAAAGAAAGCAAAAATTTATATATATCTGAATTTGATTTCACTGCATTTTTTAAAGTCAGGTTATAAACAGAAGCTCAAAAAAAAAAAATGGGAAGAACAACTACGACCCGATTGACACTGTCCATAGTTTGATGTTAATGCTTAGGAAAATATAATAAGCAACAGACTGGTTGAGAAAGTGAAGCGAAGGAGAACGAGACGAAATATCTCTGGTTGTGAAAACTACGTTCGGCGCGGGGCCTAACTTTCGTGTCTCTATGTCTGTGAGTTTTATATAAACCAAGGAAATAAGATTCTACGATGTATAGAAGCAACAACTTTCTTTTGACGTTTTCGGCAAAATCACATGGATAGTGTGACCTGAGCTCCGTTGGAAAGAAGAAGTGAAAAAAAAAATTTTAAGGGCATTGATTGTCTAAGTAAAATGGAAATAATCACGAATTCTCAGCTAAAAAGCGCTTTTCTGTACATGGCTTCTAAATTTGAACTAAAAAAACACACCGTTTGATTCTTTGTATAAAACATTCCAAATATTTTCAGAGTATTAATGTTTGGTGATTTCCATTAGCATACAGTACAGTGTTCCCCTTCCTCCATTTTTCCATTTGGCTTTCTTTGAACACATTCTAAATCTTAATTTTAGCCATAATGTATGCAGATATGTAGCCGCATACGTATGTGTGTACATTACTTATTCTACACTCACTTTACCCACTTTAAGTGAGTTCAGAAGAGTAAAGTTATTTTTGCTCTTAACATTCTTATTGATTGTTTTTGTCTTTTTCTTTCATATTTTTTGCTTTGTTTCGTAAGCGATTTTTTCACTACATTTGGCACAACGGTATCAGCTGTAAAATTTAAATAAATTACAGCAATAAAAAAGATAAACTTGAAATTTGTTACAATGTGCCAATCTCAGCGTTGAGCAGCAGCAGCAGCAGCAGCAGCAGCAGCAGCAACAAGCAATGAGCAGAATTGCAAATAAAAATGACCAAAATCGAAAGGAATCCAAGATAACGCCGATACATACACATACACACTATTTACTTTACACAAAAGTGCAAAAGAGGGAGCAAATCATTTTGTATTCTCACTCACTCGCACGAGCTCAAAGGAATATACAAAAGACTTAAGACACAAACTCGAGCGCACACGCGGCACCAATGTAAAGAATGACTTTAATTAACTGATAACTGTGAATATGTACAATTGTATGAATGCGAATAATTCATACTGTGTTGTGCAAAAAAAAAAAAAAAAAAAGAGAAGTAAATGGAAAAGAAGAAGAAGACCAAACCAGCAAAGTTAGGCCAGTAAAAATCCGATATAGACCCTCCATATGCTGCCGAAAAAGCACGACGCAGTTACATTTGTATATACAGGAAAATATATATATATATATATATATTATATATGCATACGCCTGTTGTAGCTGGGCATTCTTTTCCTTACTCTTCACAACGACAAGCAGAATTCGCACTTTTCTTATCAGTACACATTTATTATGTGTGTTTTTTCATACAACCAAAGAGTGGTAGAGATATTTGGTATATACATATGTATATATATATATGTATGTACGAACAGACACACACACGTTAGTGCGACTATTCTGTGAAATTATTGAAGACATCTTAAGCTGCTTTGAAAAAAGCAATATCAAAATTCCCATGGCGTATCTGGACTTGCAAGAATCTCTAGGTACTTTTGTGTTGAGAATAGAACTGGGCTCTGGATTTAGCCATGTTCTTTCGTAACACTGAAGAATAGATAACAGAAGAGAGAGAACTTTTCTCATTCTCTTTTTTTCCAAAAATTTTTCGGTTGAGCATGTGACTGTAGACTGGAATCAAGATTATCAGGAATTAAGTGTGCTAAATACCGCAGGTTCCATCGAGTGCATTGTGTGAGAGAGGAAAGCGCACTGTCAAGGATCTGAGCAACCGTGCTGTTAGTTCTGAGAACTACAAAGTGCTCTCGAATAATTACTCTACAAGACGCTTATAGTTGTTGGCCTGCCGTAGGATGAAGAAGCGTGAACAATGATCGCGTCCGTTTAGTCGACGTTGGGAGATTTCGAGAAAAAGGTGTGCACATGGACATTGTTCAGCGAGCCAAAAGACAGTGGCGGCGCTGGCATAAACCAGTTGAAATGGAAATAAAAATTTTATCTGAAATCGCTACTACTTTTAATTCCACCTGATGGCTATAAAGAATAATGTCCTTCTACTCAACGTTCCAATAGCTTCTGAAAACATTTTCCGAGCTAAGATAATCTCAGAGTTACAAGCTTTTTTGGGAAATAATCGTTATATCAGTTTTCCCATCATTCTACCTGAGTCAGGTCTGCTTGGAATTGCAACAAGTCAAGTTATTAACTGACCCCACTGCAACTTTTAATTCATTTAGTACCAGTTGTCATGAGTCAAATAATAATTCAGTTGGTTTTACCTGTCGGTTGGTTTAGCAACCTTGATATTCTTTTGCATATCGTTATGAATAGAGAGAGACAGATAGAGGAAGAAAGAAATTATATAGTAATATGTAAGGAGAGAGAGAGAAGAGGTCAAATGAAGGAGAAAAAGAAGGAAGAGACAAAGAGAGATGGAAAAAGAGAAGAGAAAAGGGAGAGAGCAATGAAAAAAGAGAAGGAGATATAGATAGACGTAGCGGGAGAGAGTGTGAGAAGGTGAGATACCTTTTTTTCAGAAATTTCCATAGAAGATCTGCAGCATTAAAATTTTATTAAATTTTTTAATGGAAATGTCAACCCTTCGGACATACAATAAAGGCTGCTTATAAAAAAACTATCAGCCGTTCGAAGGCGGCTTATTATAAACTTTAGGTCCTTCCATTTGTTGGAAAAACTTCAGGACGCAAAACCACAAATTGGAAGAGGAGCTCGGCCGAAAATCGATTTAGCGGTTACATAGCGCCAATTAAAAAAAATATGTTATATAAATCTACGAAAGCCCTGTACTGAGTTTTAGAGATTACTCTGACCAAGCCAGAACATTACTTAAGCCGCTAAGCAGCTGAAAGATTTTGTGAGAAGCGTTTGTTCAGTTATACGCTCTAAATGCCAGTTAAGACACGGTTTATAATTTGTGATGCTGCTTCGGATAGGACTCGAAGCCAAGACCGTCTCTATAGTAGAACAAGTTGCTATCGACTTGGATACAATTGTCAATGGCTTGTGTCATTACTGAATATTATTTGCATCGGAATTCTCACCATGCTTAACATAAAGGTGCATTGATCTTAATATTTATATATTTAAGTATTTTTAATTTGAACAAAATTTCATATTTTTGCTCTAATAAATTCCATAAAATTATTATATTGCCTAAAAACGGTTTGACATTTTCTCTTTGTGATTTTATAGCAAACCTTAAAATTTATTATTTTCATTGCCTACATTTAGGCTGAGTTAAAAATAACGCCGATAAAAAAAATCCAAATATAAAATTTATCTCCAAAAAAACATTAATCCGAAGAAGATAGTTAATCAAATGCAATTACGTTATCTCTTCCCACTGTCTCCTCCAATTTATTCACCTCATTTTCAAACTCCCCGTTTACCCACACGCTTATGTAACATTTTCCCAGAGGCTATAACTGCAGTGCCAGCACATATTTAACAGTTCATCAACACAACACAATAGCCCACCGGCATGGCCACTTGACGGATGCACATACACATGTATGGTGGATATGGAAGCCATGCTGCATCATGCCAATCACAGAATGAAGTACACCAATTAAACACAGACACACACACACCTTTATAGACATATGCTCGTACTTACACTCGCACATATATATTTATGCAAGATTTTTATAGGAAGTGGAAGCTGCTCATAACAAAACGTATTATTTTTCTGTACCAACCCATCCCAACCCCTCCCATTTGATCTCATTCTATTTTATTCTATTCCATGCAAATTACCTGTACTGTTGATGATAGACGTTGTTGCGGTTGTTGCTCTACATATTGTTGCTGCCGGTGTTGACGTTGACGTCGCTGTTGCTGTTGCTGTTGCTGTTGACTTTGCTGTTGCTGTTGTTGTTGTTGCTCAGCGGCGCCTTCGTTATAAGCCACAGCTGTTGTTGCTGTTGTTGGAAATTCCTTAGCACAATCTCTTGCGGTTACAATTAAATTATATGAACTTTTCGCTTCTCGATCAAGTTCACGGCGTGTACGTATCGTACCGTTGGCAGCAATTTCAAAGTCGTTATTATCATCGCCCGACGTAATCGCGTACTCGATGCGCCCGTTATCGCCTAGATGGGGAGAAGGAAAAATAAAGGCAAAAATTAGAAAATGAAAAATGAAAAATCAAAAAAAAAAAAAGAGCTGTGCAAAAAATCACTAGAAAATTTAAAACAACAAAAAGGTGCGGAAACAACAACAACGGTAGCTCAATAGCAACAGCAGTAGTGCAGCGACAACTATTGTCGTTAGCGCGATTTGTTGTAGTCATACACATTTCTACATACAGTGAGCTGTTGCCGTTTAGTTGTGTACTTAGTACGTCAGCGGTGGCGTGGAAAATGTTTGCTGTCGCTCGCTCAACTCAGCGTTTCAGCCTTTATTGGTAACCCAAGACAAGCAGTTTTGTTTCTTTATTTTCTCATTCTGCTCATATATCATGCATTGCTGTGGCTTGCCGAAGCAAAAAAAAAGAGGGTATTGATAAATCATTTGCTCTTGCAACCATCAAACTTTCCTTTCCTTTTGTCTTCACTCCTCAAGCGTTTTTCTATGTTTGATAATTTTTTTGATAATTTCAAAATTCACTACTCACTGCTGCAATGGCTACCTGAGCGGTTAGCTGCATTTTGTGGCATTTTGAGATTTTCTCTTCAAACATCTAATGGGACTTTTCTTGCATTTTCAACCAAACAAGCAGCCGAGAAAAAATTGGTTTTTGCGGTTAAGGCAGCAGCTGATAATTTGGTGAAAATTATGACGCCTTTTTAAATTGAAGTTAACTCTGGCCGCTTAACCGCTACACTCTACAGACGGCTTCAAATGCTGAATCGTATTTGTCTGCGATTTTTTCTATTGCGAGTTTCCTACTTCTAACTTGTAATCATAGCTGTGCCGCGCGCTGACTTACTGACTTCTTTTAATGTTGCCTTTTCTGTCTTTTTTCCTTCTTCTGTTGTTAGATTTATGTATTTGGGCGCGAAACGCCGAAAAGCTACTGGCACCCACTCAAAAAGAGAAAACTGTAAAGATGCCATGACTGCGAGGCTACATATGTACACACACACATACTGAGTTATATATGGAAATGCCATTTTGAACACCCTCAGGTTGTGAAACTTCTGTAGTAAAGGAACTTTTAACAGGCAGACAGCAACTTTCATCATATCAATTCGTCCTGCTCGATTTTTCACCACTAATTCACCGTAAATCAAATTATTAACAGTACTTCCTACCAAGTGGAAGGTCATGAATTCGAGCCCTGACCAGACCAAATATGAAATTATGGAAAATTACTTAAACCCAATTAGAAAGTAGCAGGACTAGCATCTTGAGCAACTTGCCTACTCAACCAAAGCAGCACCTTTTAGGAGGAAAGATTTTACGTTGGCTGTCAGGGATTTCCGTGTGATTGGAGATGATGCTCGTTCCCAGGTGGCTGAAATCATCTGCGACTTTAATGTCAGCAATGTCATGGGGGCCAAGATGACTGGAAGTCTTTTCGAAGATGTTTCGCAGTGATAAGGACCAATCATTTCGTTTCGGATTTATTCTCCCACACATTACGCTCGACAGAGATATTGAGGATGGACTGAACTCACGATAATTTTCGTAAGGTTTGTGGTCTCCGTATTTGTGGATTGGAGAAAAAACTGTTAATACAATCATCGGGCTTGCCCTTTCCAAAAAAAAAAAAAAAAAATCAACAGGTGCGAATGCATACTCTTCGCCGGAAGACTTAAATTTTTCGTCTTCAAATGAACAGTTGCTATTTGAACCTCGTCATTTTCGGGTATAGAAGGTTTGTTCCATCATGACGGATTCGGGCTTGCCAGCTCCCGACCCTGCACTATAACGGTTATGCTCTTTTACTGTACATAATTTAGTTCTCCCTATTAAACTCACTATACTCTGGACCTCGCACTTTACTAGTTTTCTCCTGTCATTTTTTTTTCCGAACATATCTCTTCTTCTTCTCGCAAATGTGTCTCGTTTTTTTCTCTAACTTTCGGTATCTCTTCCACACAGCACTCGTTGCACTACTGCAGTAAAACAGATCTTACCGTAAGAGCTTTTCCTTTGACCGTGTTAAAAAGCAAACGTGTTTTTGGAGCTTGTAATGCTCTCCCGCAGGTCCTAAAAATTGAGTTACCCATGGGTGTTCTCAGACTGCAGGAGCGCAAGGCGAGTATATTTATTTGTTCGTGCAAGCATACATGGCGTTCTTAATTACACAGAGGCCCGATATTTGGACACCGAAGCTTAGGAGATTCTCAACCGAGGTCCATTCATTAGAGCTGGTTTATTTGTGGGTGCTCCTAAGCCTATTGCACATCATCGCTGGCTATAATTTATATATAAATTAAATAGACATAGCAGTTAGACTGCAGTAAACCATAAAACAGAATGTCGGAGTGGTTCTACCAAAGAAGCTTCTCCTCTTTAGATAATTAGATATCGACCGAGCTCTTCCTTCGATTTGTGGTTTTGCGTCTTGATGTTTTTCTAACGAACGAAGGGACTTAGAGCTTATACTAAACCGCCTCCGAAAGCCTGACAACTTGCCTACTTAGCCCAAGTAAATTTAAAAAATGTTTTGATCTACCTTTTTCACACAAAAAAAAAAGAAGCGTTTTCTTTGCGTCAGCCAACCGTAAATGCAAAAATTATGCCAAATTTAACGAAAATTCTTTTTTTGTGGTTTTCGTACACAATTTGAGTTTATTTTCACTCCATTACGTACTGTTTTTAATCCTGTTGCCACCAAACAACAACAGAAACATTCCTACCTTTGTTATGCCCACAAAAAATATATTATATTTGAAAAATTATGGTGAATAGCAGCGAAGAAGAAGAAAAAAACGCAATGAAAGCCGCTTAACTCAACAAAATGTGGAAAACAATCTGTATGTATATGTATATATATATATATATATATATATGTGTGTGTGTGTGTGTGTGAGTGTGGGCATGCCTGTGACTGCACAAACAGAAGCTGTGGAAAGGTGTCAGTCATAAATCGTGAGATGCTCATTTTTCTGCGCACTTTTTTATTTGCAGCGCACCGCTGCTGTTTGACTGTTCACGGTTGTTGTTGGATTTCTGTATTATTTATTTTTATTATTTTTCTCTCCTGAAGTGAGTACAAGTATTGCACACACTTTGATACTGTGGTTTCATCGTATGCCACTTTGAAAGATATAATGATATTTATTTTTACAACAAATAAACATAAATAGAAATAGAAATAGAAACTGGGAACTGGGAGCACACATTTAAGGCAATACCGCTGTGCGCGTTTTAGTGGGTCATTAGGTGAAGAACGCTTTAAATGTGGCAAGGCGTCACCGTCAAGCAGGCAATTGTAAAGTACAATAGCTTTTTTGTGCTGGAAAAACTATGGCAAGCGTAGTGAGTAATAACTAATAATAGCTGGCGAGCTAGCGAACTAAACAATCAGCGAGTGGGTGCTGTGAAGCGTAAAACAAAACGAGCGAGCAACGAGTACACACTCATAATGGAAAACGAGAGAGGGGTATGATTTTCTGCAATTCAATTAGGTCACAAATTTATTGCTTTTTTATCGCAAATTTTATAGTCCGCATTTTGTTGTTTAGATTAAATTTAAAATACGGTTCTCTGTTGTTGCTTTCATTGCTAATTTTTACGTTTGCTTATTGTAATTCATTTCTTCATCATTTTTTACGACTTTTCTCTTACCTGAGTCAATATCCGTCGCTGTGACTGTTACAATCGGTGTGTCAATCGATACATTTTCATAAATCTCATTCGAATAACTCATCGGATCAAATATGGGCGCATTATCATTCAAATCCAAAACATTGCAATAAACAGTCAATGTGGTCGAGAGACTGGGATGTCCATTATCTTGCGCTTGCACTACGAGTATGTAATGCTGAACCTGTGTGAGAGAAAAATGAGCGATAAAAATTGATAGTTTTTTTTTTTTTTTTTAAACTCTATACAAAAACTTATTTTTCTAATGCAAGATTATTTAATTATTAAGTTAAAGGTGTGAGACTCTACTGACTGTAGTTTAAAATGCGCCTAGTTGTAGGCAACGTTTTTTTTGGATTAGAGGTGCGCAGCTTTGCTAAATATGGAAATAGAGGTTTATTTCAGAATACTAGAGCACGATACTCAACTATTTAAACGATTGCTGGAATTTTTCGCTGCGTTTGGGAAACTCAAGCAGCAAAATATTTCGTTTACTTTCCCAAAATTTTCTAAAGTAGTTCAATAGTTAAACAATTTCGAAAAGTTCAAGCAGTAAATTATTTAGAAGTATATACAATTTCTTTTAATTAAAAAAATAAAAATACTTAAAGATATTTGTGCTGTTCAAGCTGTTTAAATTTTTCTTTAATATTTTAGCTTAAATATATATTTCTTCGATATGACAATTAAAAATAACGTGCCTTCGGTACGGTGCCTCTTTGAAAGAATTTAATTTTAATTATTTTAAACCGCTTGAAGCTCAAGTGTGAAACATTTATAAGTATGCTAACTTGATTGTAGGCAACATTTTCTCTCCGTTCAGAACTTTACCGGCTCTCTTGCTACTAAAGTAAGAGAATAACAAAACAGGGCGGAAATTTGTATTTGAATCTGATTTTTTTCTGTTTTTATTATTTACAAAAAATTGAGAATCTTTTGAAGAGAATTTGATTAAACTAACTTTTTTATTTTCTACTTTAACCAAAAAAAATATGCATCTTTACTTATTATCCTATATATTGCGCCTAATTGTAGGCAACGTGACAAAATTTTGTATAAATAAATATTGATATTGTTGGTGATGAGTTTCAAAATGTTGATATTTTAAGTGAAAACGAAAAAGTTTGATTGCATTTAATTATTTTTTTTATTTTTGAACTTCCCGCTGCTTTATTATTCTTTCTTTTTCTACTTCATATGTATTTTTCTTTTGATTAAAAAAACTATACAATTTGAAAAATCTCATTATCACATTTTTTTGTTTGCCAAAAAATTCTCATTATCTTTTCGCATCACTCACCTCTTCATAATCTAAACGTGCTGTCAGTGTAAATACGCCCGTTTGTGGATTCAAACTGAATACATCATTGGCCCAATCCGAAATTACGGTATATGAAACGAGCGCATTATCACCCAAATCCGGATCGGTGGCGGCAATAATACCAACTTGATAGCCGCGTGGGGCGTTTTCGGGTATGTCAAAAGAGTAAACAGGTTCATCGAAAATCGGTGGATTATCATTGGTGTCGGTGACCTGTTGGTGAGAAATAAAGGATGTAAAGAAATTGGTTAAAATTATGAAATATAAAAAATAAGCGAAAAAGTAAGAAATGCGAGGGAAAAAAGAAGAAAGTGAATAAATAAATATTAAAAATAAAATATATATGTATAATGAAATAAAATAAAAGAATCGAAAAAAAATTAAAACTAAAATAAATAAAAAAAAACATTATAAATAAAACATTAAAAAAATATTTAAATATAAGAATTAAAGAAAAAAAAACAAAAAAAAATTACATTAAAAAGTTCAAATTTTGAAATTTATATTTCGCACACACAACTAAACTCAACTTTTTTGAGTCTCATCTATTTTTTTTTTTTTTATTTAAATTCTTTGTATTGCCATAATTTAATTCTTCTTCTTCAACTGTGGTTTACACAAACGCATTTACAAAACCACATTTTAATTTTGCTTTCGTTATTTTTTTTTATGGTTGCTGGTTTCTGCTTGATGTTTGTGTTGTTGTTGTTTAATATTTTCCGATGCATTTAAATGCGTTTAAAAGGTGGAAACAGCTGTCAGTTCTTATTCATATCACGAATGCACTGGAGACAGCCCGGCAGGAGGCCAACAGGCAGCATAACTGGCGTTGCAAATAAAAAGCGACAAACGAACGACATACAGACATACAGACAAACAGACGTCGTACAAAGAGACAAACAGACATAGAAGAGACAATCGAAAAGTTAAAGCCGCATAATGCAAGCACAATTACCTGCTTGTTTGTATATATAATATATGTATGTGTGTATGTGTATGAGATTTAGTAGAATTTATAAATATGTAGTATGTATGCACGAATGAATGTGTGCGTGGGTATGCGTATGCATCGGCATCCAAAGGATAGACATGTGTACACGCTGTTGAGAGGCGTCTGACATGTATGACGCTTTATTAAAATACACCAACATTTATACATATTTATGCGCAAGCAAAAAAAAAAAATTACACTGCAAAAAAAAAAAAAAAACAGCGTATATAGAATGTTAAAGAAGAAGAGGAAAAAAAGCAAGAAAATTAATTGTTCACATTAAAACTCACGATAAAAATAAAAAATAAATAAATAATAAAAAATAAAAATAAATTAAATAAAAAATAAGTAGACAAAGCAATCTGTGCAGCTCCCTTTCATACTACGTGTATTCTCTGCCGCCCGCACGCTCTTCATGTGTAACATTCACTACTAAACGGCCTGCAAAGTGTGAATAAAGCGACCTTAATAAGTTTTTTATGATTACCGGCGGCGAGTGGCAGCTCATACATACTTATATACGCACACAGAGTGCGCGGCACATACAAAAGTGTTAATAAGTAAGAAATAATAAAATTCTGCTGCCATTAACAATAAATGGCGGCGGCGTCGGCGTTGACGTTGGTGTTGGTGTTGGCGTCTGTGCGGTAAGGATGCGGTGAATAAATTTTAAATCTTACTTTGTCGCAAAGCAGCAATTGCACTTCATTTCATTTAGTTGAAGGTTACATCTACAAATATTCATATATATATACACCTTAACAGAGTAAGATGTGACATTTTTAAAGCTTTGTAAGCACTTTTTTGTTTAAAAAGCTGGGCTATCGGGTTAGATATATTGAATTAATAGATATTTTGTGGTCTTTCCAGGGTTTTAAAAAGTCGAATGCTTTTTTTGATTTTCAAAAAAAAAAAGTTTTTTCGATTTGAGGTAATTACTAACGTTAAATTAAGCAATCTTGTAGAATATTTTTTTAATGTAAAAAACATTTTTTAAAAAATTTATTTTAATTTTACAAAAAAATATATCCTTTTTTTTGTTTATGTGGCTCATTCTGTTCTGTTGAAAGGTGTTGTAAAAAAAAAAAATAAACTTAATTCAAAAGAGACTATATTTACCTGTATTAGGTAAGTAAACGTAGATCTAGGATGTTCCGCCCACTTAGATCATGTTTTGAATTCAATCCATCTTTTTTCTACTACAAGGACTCCTTATAAATATAAAAGCTTCTGCCGCCAGACAAAGGCAGCTACTACTTAGAGAACGGCATACGCACAAAGGTTGTAAATTGGTTCTCTTTCCTTATCTTTTTCTGCGCCTACAACATATCTTGACGAAAGTCCCTAATTTAAAAATCTCCTCAGTATCCTACTTATCCGATTTTCGACAGTCTCACTCTCTCTTCCGGCTTATTTCTATTAAGTATACTTTTATAGGCGGCAGCATGAGTTATATTCTTATATCGACGCGACTGATTTATTATTACAAAAAAAAATATACATTGAGGTTAAGTTGAAGTGATTGCTGAGCATTAGATAACAAAACAGGTCCGTTTTGTTACAACACAGGGTCCTGGCAGCCTCCACAAGCTAGTGGAAAAAATGCATGGAATTCGCGAAGCTGAGAAATCGATATAAGTGCCTGAAGATATCATGTACTTCCTCCCTTCTTTGAACAACTGTTGCTTTCCAATAGATGTATATAATTCTTTTTTTTATCGAGGAAAGTTCTCGTGACCTTCAATTATCACATGTTGATCATCATATCCTGGCCATAATGCAACCATTGTTTTTTAGGTTTACATCTGTGTCGAATAACTCCTTCGTAGCGATTTTAAAAGTGGAAGGCCTGATTGCCAGTCTCTTTTATAATAGCGAAGAGAGATAGAAAGTGTCTTTCTGAATATAAGTACTTGCTCTGAAGCAATTCTCTACTTTTCCTATGCCATTGTTACTTCTATGCGGGCTCTTGTCATTACCTGGCTATCTAGAGGCATATATATAGAATTAAGTTAGAGTACGTGAAGTCAGTTTCGCTTGAGAAATGATGCAGTAGGTGAAGTGACTCTTCAGTCCGTATTCGCCGCCACTATCCTACCCTATGGGCTTCTATCCGAAATAGCTACATTATATTATTTTGTAATTGAACCATCTCAAGTTATCAGTATGACCATGACATATAAGTCTAGAGCATAACACAAATGAGGAATAGATCTAAAAGGACAATCATTGCCCCAGTTGCTATGGTTTACTATTTCGTAAAAGTGCTATTCTCTGCACTCTAATGCGTAGGTCATACTTGGGTGTTTCTTTATCCTGAAATATCAGTTCTTCAGTTCTGCTCTTCGTCACTCTGTTCTTTTCATTTCTGTAAATGAAAATTCTTACGAGTGCTGTTATACCCAATGACTCAGTTTGGATAGCTCCAGATAGTCAATGGGTGATTTTAAAATCTCTTTTCAAGTGCAAGTAGCACTTTACAGGAATTCTCCGAGGCAGGGAAATCTTTGGAAAAGTGCTTTTTAGCCATATTTTACTTAATTTGCTGGTATATATGTACATCTTGTACTTATTTAAGATTCCATCTAAACCCTAAAATGAGTTCGGTAGAAAGTATGCAAAAAATTCGCAACTTTTCTAGCATGCGATTTTTTTTGTATTGAAAAAAAATAACTTCCATGCAACCAAACTCGACTGTAACCAGGTTAGGACATTTTATGCTTATGTCTGCGACCAAAATGGTCGGGGTGGATAAAAAGTAGTAAACATACGTACATGAGTCGCACCAGCATACACACACAGCCAGCCACCTTGCAACATGGCTTTATGCGGTAAACAGCAACAACAAACAACCAACTTACTAAATATATTTATATATGTGTGAAAGTACCAGCTCTCAACTGACCATAAATTATCACAGCTCACGAGTATATACATATACAGACAAACATATTTATACATGCATATATTCGTATGTATGGGTACAAAATACCTGCTGCTGGAATGGCTAACTTATTTGCCAACAAACACGCCAACTGCGCAACTGGAGGACAGTGTTGAAATACACACATATAAGCAGACACAAATACATACGTACATAGTCAGAGCAGCACATTTTTCACGCTTATATACATACATATAAGCGACATAAGCGACACTGCGGTGACATTGCCTTGTCTGTGTTATGAAGGAGAAGAAATAATTTCGTTGTTGTTTTGTTGCTTTTAATTTTAATTTTCAAGGTCTCTACAACAACGCTTAACTTAAAGCGAGATTATTCTGTCCTTAAGCGAGCTGCGCTGTGACACAGTAAAAGTCATTGCATTAACGAGACGACCGAACACCTACAATTGGTGGAGTGTTGGTACTGACTTTCAATGTTTGTGTGTGTGTATGACTGCTAGCTTGTAGTGTGGTAGTCTCTTCGACCGGCTGTAAGCAAATCAGACTTTTCAATACACCCTTTGGAGTTCTCCAAATGCAGCTCTTCCAGTATTTAGTGAGACAATCCAGCTTTTTAGAGTTATGATTAAATTTCAGAGCACGATAAAGCTCGACATAGCTTAACCGTTAATGTTCTAAAATTCTTCGAAAAGAATACTGTGACTTACAGATGGTTTCAAGACTGGAGCAAGCTCTTGTAAGAGCCAGAGAAATGACTTAACAGCTGATCTCCAGCGTTGTAATGCATTTATTTAGGGAACCCTTTTCTAGCCTGCTGAACGGACGTGAAAATAGAACAACAGGAGGCCGCCACCCTGATATTCCAATCGAACACGAAGGAAAAAACGTTCCTGACTATGAAAATCAAATAGCGGGGGCGGTCGGTGCTGATTAGTCTTCATCATTGGGTCTTTAGACCTGGTAAATCCACAATTGGTCAGATCTTCACCATGTGCCAAATCTTGTAAAAGACTCCTGAAAAGAGGATCTACACACCACCACATTCTCGACAATATGTTGATACTGTTGGTTTCACCAGCTGCGCTGTGAGTTCAGCTTTCTCCAGGATTAATACCATAAAAATCGCCAGCATTCGAAATACAATACAACCCCTGCCAACAGCTGCCTCCTTAAACCGAGTGGACAAATGAAACGAAAAGTCTTCTCTTACGAATAACGACCAGGCGAGTCTTCGTCCATCATTCATTTCCTGCTGTATGGTGCGGAAGCACGATTTGATGAGTTGTTGTTATTTGTAGTTGTTGTAGCGGTTCGCAAACCCCGCTTAGACACAGGTTTAGTCAGTCTAAGTCGCCGAGGTCATCTAATGGGAGGTCCAGGAAAGGAGCTGTTTCGATGGGGTTGGACCAGAGGGAGAGGACGATTTGATGAGTCGGCGTTGGGAGTTCTTGAGAGAAAGGTTTTGTGTAAGATTCATTGTACTATTTGCTTCGGCAACGGCGAATGTCGCAGCCGAGGCAAGCGAATACAATTGCCTCACTGAGCTAATATTGGGCTCTGGCAGCTCTCTTAGAATTAATGAAAGTATCCACTCCTTACTATTATATTGAGATCTCTGCCTTCTAGACCGCTTCTCCATCAACATTAGGACTGGTATAATAACTAGAAACTGTTTAATCGGGTCTTACGAAGATAGGATGGGCTATTACTCTCGCGATTTCTCCCGCGGCTGTAGGGACGAAGAAGAGAAGGAGACCACCGAGCACTATCTCTGCCACCTAAAAAGTAGCAAAAACTAAAATAGCAGACATAATTTTCAAGGTAGAGTGCGAAACCCATACAAGCAAGCATTTCATATCCTTATAGCTAGCAGTTCTTGTGAGTGCTACTCGTGTTGTTGTTATAATTCTTTTTTTTTATTCCTTTTGAATTATACCGTTTGCATTTTGTAATCCATATACTGATTTATCCAAAAAATCACATTTGTTTTACCTCCTTCCCTAAAAAAACTCCAGCACTCCGCTGTTAACACCTTGTGCCACCGTCGCTTTGCTGCGCTGCCGCTCTGCTGTGTTTGTTCTGTGCACAGTGTACCAAGCTCAACGCCAAGGGGCAAGTATCAGATTCATTGCATTTGAAAATTTTTTGTTTAATTTTTATTTTATTTTCTTTTAATTCTTCTTTTTCCGCTCCACAAAATTTGAAGCTTTCATTTTAGGAAAGTTTTTCGAAAGAATTCCATAGCGACAAAGAAGAAATGAAGCATAATTTTGTACGTATTTGCGTGTCTCTGCTTCACTAAATGCTCAAATATATACCCACATTCATAAATATATAACTACATATATAAATATACTTTGTTGTTAAGTAAAAGGGAAGCGCATTCAAGTAATCATTGAGGCGTTTTTATTTAACACGTTACGAGGCATCAAATTACCCCCTTAAAAGAAAAGTGAAATATAAAATAATATAAAATAAACAGCAATAAAAAAACGCTCAAAATAAAATAAATACAAAAGACAGTGTGCTAAGAAAAGAGCAGCAGCCAGCTAAATGTGTGCAAGGAAGTGAAAAAGGTGTGCAAAAAACGGTTCACTCAGTCAGTGAAGCCGAGGTGTAACAAATATCGAACACGAAAATCTTGGCCGTACACTGTGAGAAATTCTTGGGGAGAATGAAAGGAAAGAAAAAAATTATTGAAATTAACAATAAAAAGCAAAGATTGATTTTGCACCCAAAACAGCTCTCACAAATAATTGATATTTGGTGACAATGTACGGAAAACTGTTAAAAATTATTAAAAAGGAGAATAATAATAAGGAAAAACTCAAAACTAATGTCACTGGTGAAAGCTGAAATTTAACAAATTGACCACACACCAGGAATGAAATAAAAAAAATATATAAATAATAAAACAAATAAAAATTTTGTTAATTTCCATTTATAAAAACTTTAGGCATAACATAAAACCTCACATTCCTTTGAAGAAAATTGACAACGTTGCACACAAATTCGATATGGAAAAGTAAGTAAATATAAAAGAAAAGAAGAATTTTACCCACCCTGTATTAGTAAAACCGACTTTAAACAATCATTATGATTCCTTAATACATTCGGGTAAAGATTTCAATTTTTAGTTTCATTTTTAATCACTTACCGAAATTTCTGCTGTCGTATCCGTGCTTTGCACTCCATCACCAACACGCAATTGTAATACATATTTATCCTTCAACTCACGATCGAGTGCATCTTTCAAATACAAGCGACCAGTCTCAGGTTCCAATAGAAATTTCTCATCACCACCGCCAATCAAACTGAAGATAAGCGTACCCAGCGTGTCGGGATCCGTGGCGCGTATCGTGGCAACGTGATGACCGGCGCCCAAGTCTTCGCTAACATTGAAAGAGAGCGGTGTGTCACGAAATACTGGCGGACTATCGTTTTTATCTAATACTTTGACGGTGACCTGGAAAAAAGGAGAGCAAGGATGAGAGATTGTAAGAAAAATTATAATTTGTTTTGAGATTTGTTATTAAATTTATTGAAGTTATATTTTGTAATAAATATATAAATAAAATAAAATAAAATAGAATAAAATAAAATAAAATAAAAAAAATAAAATAAAATAAAATAAAATAAAATAAAATAAAATAAAATAAAATAATAATAAGGTAAAATTATATAAAATAAAATAAAAAAATTAAAAAGAATTAGAATATTAGAATTAAAATGGAATAAAATAAAATAAATTAAAGAAAGTATTTAAATAAAAAAAATAATTTAGGTACAAAATAAAATACAGTTATAAAGAAATAAAATAAAAAAAATAAAATCATAAAATAAATTAAAATACAATAAAAATAATATATAACAAAATAATATTAAATATACCAAAAAATCATAAAGTAACTAAAAAGAGCAACTAAAGAGAGAGAGAGAATAAAAGGGATAAAACAAGACTTAACAATACAAAATTAAATAATATAAAACAAAAGAGTATTAATAAAATAAAATAAAAAATAATTTAGGTAAAATAAAAAATCAAAATAAAATTAAAATTATATTATATTCAATATATTTAAATAAAATAAGATAAATTCAAATAAAACTAAAAAAAAGTAATTAAAAACTGAAATAAAATAATAAAAGAAGAAAAGTAGAATAAAATAAAACTCAATATAACAAAATAAAATGGAATAAAATAAAATAAAAATGATATAAAGTGAAATAAAATAGGATTAATACATAAAAAAATTAATTGAGTTAAAATAAAATAAAACCATAGAAGAAAATGCTTTTAACAAGTGAAATAAAAAAGAATAAAAGAGATAAAATAAATTAAAATAAATAAAATAAAATAATTAAAAAGAGAAATAAAATAAAATAACTAAATTAAATCATAGTATGATAAATCGAAAAAAAGAATAATATATAATCAAATTAAGTAAGAAGAAAAACTTGTTTAAATCGTGGATTGTTGTGAATTTTCATATTTATGACATTTATGTGTGTAAGCATGTATTCATACTTGCGAACCCCGCCACCGTAATGACATTTCAATAAAATAATTAATTGTAATCGTAACCATATATTGCGTGTTCGGCTAACGCATTTTATCTTTACAACTTCACATCAGCGGCGATAACATTTCTTTACTATTTCTGCTATCACCTAAAAAATAGAAGAAATCTAAAAAAAAAAATTATGTAGCAACAGTAACCTCCACTTGCCACAAACATACCAAAAACAAACATGCAAGCTTATAGACACTACTGTTGCAAGTAGAGTGAAGGTGAAAGACAGTGGTTGAGTTTGAGTTGCAAGTAGTGGGAATAGAGGAGTGCGTTGTTTGAGTAGTTGCAAAGATCTTTGCTGCGAGAAGAACCATAAATAGTTGCAGAGCAAAGCAGACAAGTAGTAGCAGCAGAACAGAGTGCAACAAACGCCAACACTTAGGCCAACCATCAAGTGGCAGCCACATTTTTAATTCAATTAAACGCTGCTACGAAAAGGTGAGCTTGCTGCTATCAACTACAAAATCGCACTAACAATGCAATTGCTGCTGCAACAATACTAAAACATGTGCATATATTTATACATACATACAAGTAGATATTTATATTTTGCTTCAACAATCCAGTAGGCTAAATGGGTGTGATGAAGTGCAACATGCGGCAAGTGAAGCAACAAACAAACAAAAAAACTTAGAAGACTAGCAGCGATGTTGGAAAGAAGCATGCAACATGCGTATGCACTATCCTAAAGGCAGCATGCAACACAGCACAACTAGTCCGTCTGACAGTCAAGCCAACTCAGGCGATCGGTCTGGCAACAGTGACTTGCTAACTGCCAACATGCCTACTTCCGACTGCTCGTGCTGCTGCGTTTATTTGTATATTTTCGTAAGCGGCAACAACAACACTTTTCTTGAATACTGCCGCAGCAGCCGCTTTGTTCGGTGTGTTGAAAATTGTTATTGAAGTAATCATATAATTACGACTTTTTCAAGTCAATGCTTTTGCCTTTAAAAGGAAATAACTACTTTGTGAGCGGCAGGCGGCATACATACATACATACTTCCATGACTAACAGCTGAGAGAACAGTGTATGCTTAGCTACAACAGCAACAGTAACAAAAATCACTGGCAAATATGTCGGGCTTGGCCTTTAAGCTACACTGCTGCTCCCGCGTCTAATAAATGCAAGAAAGCCGCGTGACACACTTGCAGCTCTTGTTAAGCGCAAGCGTTTACCCACGGCAGTTAACCGTTCGTTGATGTTGCTATGTAGAGCGCGTCTCTAGATGTTGGTACATGTAGTTGGTAAGGCACTTGTCTTTTGGCAGTTGCCAGCTGTTAAATACTAACTGAACTGCTTTTGAGCTGAAAAGTACTGGACTAAGAAACATACGTGGGAAACATAAAAAACAAGTGAAAATTGGCAACGCTGCACAGAAACCTATAGAACGATAAAGCAGCAAGAAAAGAATATACAAGAATAGGTTTAAACAAAAATCTTTCATAGGTACCCAGACTACGATCTCATATGAGGAAAATTGACAACATTGGCGCAGTAAAATAAATCAATAGTATAACCACATATTTCTAAAGAAACATGTACACCCAGCGACTTCCAAAGAGTTATTGGCAAGCTGATTACCTTTCTTAAGCAATCGACATAAGCAATTGATGGATCAAGTAAAATTGGCAACGTCGCTTAGAAGGAAACACCGTCATATATAATATATACAACAGTTATCTCAAGCGATAGGCACACAATGATTTCCAAAAAGATATAAAGTTTGGCAGTTAAATTACTCAAGACTGGCTATGATTTTCATAGAACGAAGATTTCAAAAAATTCAACCTTATAGCAATAATTCTTTATAAATAAACGACAAAATTAAAAATCTTTTAAAATTGGCAACGTTGATATACCAAGTTAGACGCGCAGTTATAAGCAAAAAATATTAGTAAGGACTTTTCATATTCATAAGAAAACACTGTTGCCGCAACTACAGACGCTAGTGTTGCTTACAACAAAAAGAAGCAATAATTTTCTCTGAGAAAATTGGCAACAGTGTCAATAGTAAAAACAATGTTGATTCCTTTTAAGTATGTTTTTCAAGTTAGTCCGAAGGCTGTAAATAACAAAGTTTAATAATTTTCAGTAGGATTGTTAGGTTAGGTTGAACTGACCTGAAAAGTCGGGTCTGACATAGGCGATATTAAGCAAATAGTGTTTTCAGAAGCACTACATTCGAACAAATGCGTCTCTCTGCAGTAAAACGTAGGCATTTTACATTTTATGAGATATCTTAATTTCTTACATGAAAAATACAGAGAAAATGGGCAACGTTGCCTATACTAACAGATAATTTTTATAATAATTTTTATAGTAAGCTTTTTATAAGCGGATATTTTTGAATCTACTCCGTGAACTTAAGAACAGAGATAATAAAACTTTATTGGGGAGAAAATTGGCAACAATGCAATTAGTCAAACATAATTTATGAGGTTCTTACACTGAAATACCAATAATCTGTTGGCAAAATCTTTCGCTTCCCACTTCAGAAATACAAAAATGGAATTTTCTAAAGAAAATTGGCAACGTTGAATTAACTAAAATACCCATAATAATTCTTAAGGTAAGACTTTAAATGACGAAAACAAGATATTCCTTTGAGGAAAATTGGCAACATTGGTCTCTGTAGTACAACATTTGTACTCTGCATACAATATTCTCAAGGAGAAGGGAATGAGTGTTTCATAGGAATTTGGCAACATTGACACTAATGAAATGTTAACCATAACTATTTTGAAGAAAGTGTTTTTAGCTGGCTATTGTTAAATTTTGGGAAAAAATCATCCTGGAGAGAAAATTGGCAACCTTGTGAAAGAATTACATAAATGTAGATGTTTTTACATATTAGTCTTCCGCAGATATATGAAAATACCGTTGTGTTATAGTTTTGCAGTTGAAACACCGCTATCAAGCCAAGACAGCTTTGAGCAGTAAGCTCGAACTAACTTGGACTATTTTTCTTAACAAGGCTTCTATAAGCCCCAGTAGAGTTGAGTCCCTGAGAAGCGTAGGAACGCACATACAAAGATTTTTGATGATCTTCAAACTGTCTTCTAACTTTATCCATCTTAAATGCCACCAAGCCTAGCTCAAGCACGCTTAAGGTTCAGTAGCCTCTTTCTTCATTACAACGAGCCAAAACTTGGCGGTAACTTGGTTAGGATTGCTGAGTCCACATGATCTTCGATATAGAATGGAGTAGTTTCTGCGATTAAAATTAGAATGTTTCCCTGCCACCAGATGGAATCTCAAATGCATCATGAGTTTGCCAACACTAGCAGCAACCGCTTCTACTCAATTCAATTTATTTGCAATTTACCGTAACGATTGCGTGCAAAAATCACTTGAAAGTTGCATAAATCACAATCTCAGTGGATTTAACAGGCATAAAGTGAAGCTGCCACTTGCACACGCCGCACTCAGTGCTCATGACGAATTACTACGCATTTCTGCTGGTTCATCAGCGCCGACACCGCCGCCACAATCACCGCAACAGCACAACACAGCGAGCAATTGATGAGCTGTTTGCTTGCCATTTTGACTCGCGACGCGTTGGAAGCTCGCAGCAGCATGAGATGAAACATTTGCTGCGTTTATCATTAAAAACGCATTTGCATGCCAGCAACACCATCGCCACCGCAACACCATCCCAACACCACCACATTCATTAAGCGGCGATGAAGCAACAGCAACAGCAGTAACTTGCCACAACGCGTGGAAGCAGCAAATCCACGCTAACTTTAGTCATCATCATCAGCATGGCGGAGCAGTAGCCAACGACTACGGTGGCGAGAAGCTGTGAGGAGTGCGGAACCAACCGAAAGAATGAGTGGTAGTACATTTTATTAGTAGCAAAAACGGCCTAGAAGCTCAAACAACAAA